CCTCTCAGCCATCTGGATTTCAGGACCCTCACAGGCCCAATTATGTATGCAGGCTCAAGAAGGCTCTCTACGGCTTGAAACAGGCACCCCGCTCATGGTACCAACGATTTGCTGGATTCATCTATACACTGGGGTTTCGAGGGTGTAAGTCTGACACCTCTCTCTTTATCTACTCTCATGGGACACATACAGCCTACCTACTTCTCTATGTTGATGATATTGTCCTCACAGCTTCCTCCGACTCTCTTCTTCGGCACTTGACTAAGTGCCTTAAGGGGGAATTTGCTATGACTGACATGGGTGACCTTCATTTTTTTCTTGGGTATCAATGTCCATCGGACAGCTCATGGTCTCTTTCTACATCAGACACAGTTTACTCACGACATCCTTGAGCGTGCCGGTATGATCACGTGTCGTCCCATCTCCACTCCCGTCGATACGAAGGCTAAATTATCTGGCACATCGGGTTCCTTGGTAGCCGACCCTTCCCTCTATCGCTCCATCGTTGGAGCCCTCCAGTATCTCACATTTACTAGGCCAGACATCTCCTACTCTGTTCAGCAGCTTTGTCTCCACCTTCACGCCCCTCGAGATGTCCACGTCACAGCTATGAAGCGAGTATTACGCTATCTCCGCGACACCTCCACCTATGGTATGACTCTTTCTCCGTCTAGCACAGATTCTCTTCAGGTCTACTCCGATGCCGATTGGGCAGGGTGCCCCGACACCAGACGATCCACATCAGGCTACTGTGTCTTCTTTGGGGACAACCTCATCTCTTGGTCCTCCAAGCGTCAAGCCACCATTTCCCGATCCAGTGCTGAAGCTGAATACCGATCCATCGCTAACGCCGTTGCCGAGACCAGCTGGATCCGAAACCTCCTATTAGAGGTACAGCAACCCCTACGCCGCGCCACACTTATCTTCTGCGATAACGTTAGCGCTGTTTATCTCTCCACCAATCCAGTTCAGCATCAGCGCACCAAACACATTGAGGTAGACATTCACTTTGTTCGTGACAAGGTGGCCCTTGGCCAGATTCGAGTTCTTCACGTGCCATCTTCCTCACAGTATGCAGATATATTCACAAAGGGCCTCCCGTCCATTTTATTTCAGGATTTCCATTCAAGCCTCGGGATTCGCCCACCATCGACGCCGACGTAGCTAGGAGCATGTTAAATATATTCTATATTTATGTTAATTATATATTCTGTATTTATTGTATAGAGATTGTTTCCTATTGTAGAATCCTACCATGATTAGGATTAGGAATAGCTTGTGTATATAAACACATGTACCCCCACTTTATTGTTCAAGGAAAATCATATTTCTTCATTTTATGACAGTAGTTGAATTGTTTATCAGACAGCTACTCCAAAGATTACTAAAGAAATTTGCTTCAAACAACTATTATTTCACGTTGTATTTTAAAAATATGAACTACTATTTTTGTAGTATTTCAAACAACTGTTTGTTTTGATTGTCTAAATGTTATTAACATTACGGGTTTGTGTAGTTGTACATACAGTTTTCAAACTATTAATTTGAATGGTAGTTGAATTTTTTATTAGACATCTGTAATCTTGTGTTGATTACCAAATAAATATAAATTCAAAAATTACAATATATTGAACAATATATAAATTCATACATTTAAAATATTATTAACATGTAATAATTTAATATTTACATCATCTTCCTTACCATTTACATATTTTACATGCCTGCCTCTTCAATCCATCCTATTCTTATGATACAGGTTGTTGCTCCTACAGAGGAACAAGTGAGGAACCCAATCCTTGAGAATCTTCGTGGATTGAACTTGAATCTCCCACCTGCCGGCAGAAACCAAATAACTCCTGAAATGATCGTTGTGAATCAAGAACCAATTGTTAGATATCCTTAACAATACACATCATTTTCTTGTTGATCAATTTATTCATTTTGAATTATGGTTCAATAATTCATAATCATAATTTAGTTCAAAATAGTCAAACAAACATTTCATCTTTACGGTTCTTTCATTCAATTCTATACATTTTTATTTGTGATAATAAAATCATGATCGTTATGTAGTCATAATTACTCGTGTCGTCCATTTGATCATCATAATCAATATTTATTATCAATGATATTCCATTATCCATTATAATAACCATTTTTTAGGATATTATCAAGGTTTGATCATAATAGTCATAATAACATTTATTAACAAATAGCGGCCTAGTTTCAAGTGTTAACACCCAAGCTTACCGTCATGCATCAAACAAAGCTTTCAAATTTGTCCAAATATCATTTTTATTTCCATAAATCATATTCATATTGTTCATAATTGAGTGGTGTCAAAATTAGGATTTTATAGCTTCAAAAATAGCATTTTTGGGCTAAAAAATGTTCGTAACGGTCGACCGTTTGGTCCGAACGGTCGACCGTACTGTTCAGAAAATTTTCTCTTCTAACGGTACCTAGACACGGTATCTAGACACGGTACCGGGGTCCCGTATCAGCACAAAAATTTACTATTCATCATCTTCTTCATGCGGCCATTTCCTCAAACTTCATTTTATGTTACCAAACTTCAATTAAACTAGATAGAAATGTTCTCCAAGGTTCGTAGATCATTTTAGAGGCATCAATTTAAAGGTTTAACAACAAATTCGAGGTTTATGATTCTTGGTTCCTCAAACATGTCAAACACAAAACTGAACCAAACAACCATTTATGAACGTAGAAACGATCTATACGAATTGAGATCTATTCGCACTATTGGATTTGATTCGTCGATCTCTATCCAACGATATTACTTTTATTATCATTCGACTAGTATTTACCGGTTCCTCCTCCGTATTAATTCTTTTGTTTAATTAGTACCGATCATTCTTTTAATTTAAACCTTTACAAATAGAGTTAGATTAGTCTCGTAAAATTGAGACGATTAGAATTCTCTGAAATATCTTTTAATTCTTTTAGGAATAGATTATCATAAAAAGATACTTCTTATTTATTTAGTTATCGATTAACTTCTAGACCGGTTTCCAGGGCGTTACAGCGTCGCCCCCTTGCCCCCCTGACTCGATTTTAGGTTAAATTATTAGATTTCATTTCAAACAAATTACTCAAAACATTTAACATTAATTAATTTTTAAAAAATTAGATCAGCCAAGATTATATCTAATATAACTAGCATTAGATCTAGCAGATTAGATCTAATCAAATAAGATGCTTTAAGATCAAATCAAATTCAATCAGATCTTATTACTTGCATATTATTTAGTACATCTCAATTTAACATGTTTATATGTTGTTTAGATGATATCTAATAAAATCAGATCTCATCATATCAAATTAGACTAGATCAAATTAAAAGAGTTTTAATTATAACTAATCAGATTAATTAAATCAAATTGGACAAAAACAAATCTAATCGGAATAAATCAAAGTAAGATCCAACAAGATCAGATCAAATCTTCAAAAATATCGAATCAAATCAAATTTTAATCTAGTAAGATCAAATCAAATATTTAAAAAATCATATCGGATCTAATTAGATTGATTCAGACAAAAATAGATTTAATCAGATCAAATCAAGTTCAAATCTATTAAGATCAGATCAAATCTTAAAAAAACAAGTTAATTATATAGGTCGTGTCCTTTTTTCCTGATCTAATCCATAAATATATCAGATTAGATCAAATTAGATCGAATTAGACCAAAACAGATCAAATCAAATTCAAATATAGTAAGATTAGATCAAATACTAAAAAAATCATATCGGATCTAATTAGATTGAATCAGACCAAAATAGATCAGATCAGATCAAATCAAATTCAAATCTATTAAGATTAGATCAAATCTTCAAAAAAAGAACAAGTTAATTATATAGGTCGTGTCCTGTTTGCCGGATCTAATCTATAAATGCATCAGGTCAGATCAAATTAGATCAAATTAGACCAAAACAGATCAAATCAAATCAAATTCAAATCTAATAAGATCAGATCTAATTTTTTTTTTAAAAAACAATTTACTTGTGTTGGTTGTGTCTTATTTTTGTGATATAAACTTTAAATGCATCATATCGGATCTAATTAGATCGAATCAGACCAAAACAAATCTAATCGGATCAAATCACATTCAAGTCCAATAAGATCAGATCTAGTCCTCAAAAAAAATCAATTTACTAATCAAAAGTTGTTTCTTATTTGCCAGATATAATCTTTAAATGCATGAGATATGAATTTAGTTAATATTACTCCCTCCGTCCCAGAGTTTGTCCACTTTCATTTTTGCACACCATCCAATACACTTTTTTAATCCATTTTATCTTATAATTTGTATATTAAAAAATTATGGAAATTATATATTAATAATCTATATGTTAAAACAAATCAAACAAGATCAAACATGACAATATTTAGGCTTACACATTGAGAGACTTTGATGAGTCAAAGTGCTTAGATTAATAGTTCCAAAAGTTAAAACTGGATGAATATAGCGGGACAGAAGGAGTATTAAAGTTTACCTCCAAATATCTATAATTTTAATTTCTCTCTATCTAAATTCATTTTCCCTCCCCTTTTTACCCGTGCGTTGCACGGTAAGTAGTTTATTTAAAAGTGTAAATTATAAAAACTTCATTAAATTAAATGTCTGTATACAAACTTAAATATAGAATTAAATATACTCCATATAGATTCATCATGATATATACTTCCTCTCTCCCATAAAAACGTAACTCGTTTTGATTTCGGAAAAATTACGAAGTATTAAAAATAAAGAGTAAATTCCATAAATATTTCCTAATTAGTGATTTTCCATAATTAATATCCAATTATAAGATATTACATAAATAATCCTTAATTTTTAAAAATAATTTCATAATTAAAATGTGTGTTAATAAAAATAATAAAAAAACCACTTTAGAAAACAGTACAATTGTACATTAGTAGTATTAAAATATGTATTTTTTTTAAATGTTATCGACTTGGTTACATTATACTTTATAGTACTATCAGTTTTTAATATTAGGATATACATATTTCCTTCATAACAAAAATGTTATGAAGCACTTATATTCAGCGAATATGAAAAGGACCATGCTAGGGTGCCACCACATGGGTGCACCCATGTTAGGGTGCCACCACATTATACTGGACAGCTTCATTCATCTCATCCTTAACATTTTGATGTCATCAATCTTGACATATACTGCACTGTCACAATATTTTTGAGATTTATTTAACAAACCCTAAACTTATTTTAAGATAAAGCTACAAAATTGATGAAATTAAAATACAATTGATATGGAGATATATAGAAGTATAGATGGAAAGATGATAGGTTTAAAGCCTTAATTATGAAAAAATATATGAAGAAAATGATGAAATTTTTATGTACGATACCTGCTGTGTCGAATGTTGAAGAACATGAATAGTACTCTGGTAACTACCTTCACCTTTTCCATTCTTAAGCGACAATGTTCCCACAGGTTTCTTTGTCTTCTCTGTTTCAGTCCCACTGCTTCTAAGAATCCGTTTCGCCCCTGACATTGCACCGGATATTAATAAGCCCTTATATTTCCAAGAATTATCCGTTAAGAATAGTGATGATAGAATTTGTTTCACATCTTTAAATTACTCTCGATTATGCTAAATCAAAATGGTCTAACAATTGTTTATACAATTACTATTAAAAATTTACTATGTGTTATGCATAAAAAATTACTACAAAAATTAATATGAACAAATTAATGTGAAGTACAACCTTCAAGGAATTAACATTGAAGGGATGCAAGTAATTTCTTATCTGCCATAGTCTAACAAATGTTTTAATTACATATGAAAATTGAAAAACCTTCTGAGATGAAATCTAATAATAGATTGACAAAATTATTATGAAATATATACGGGGAACATGTATAAATGAAAAGAGAAAGATTTGGAACCATAAATTGAGATTGTTTTTGAAGGAATCTTTCCAACTCTTGCACCATCTCCTTGCTGAGACCCCTATATTTGTCATTGCCATCTCCACATTGAGTCCTATTTGTATTCTTATTTGACAATTTTACAGAAGAGATCAAGAGATGAAGGAGCAATTAACAAATTTACAGAGATATGTTGGACAATTAAAAAAAACTGAAGTTTTGAGAAAGGGTACACGGTGTACACATTGACCATGAAGAACACCTAAATTTTTTCAAATTGATTGTTTAAATAAAGTTTAAAAATATAACTTCCACCCCCAGTGAGTTTAGGGTTCACCAGTAGTAGTCAGCAAGAAGGTTTTATTGTCTCTATGGATGCAGCTGATGAAGAATTGGAATTAAAAAAACAATAATGATACCTTAATATCAATGGCCTTGAAATCCTCTTATAATACTGATTGAAGAGTGAAACTACAATGCTAAGAATGCACTCAATATTAAAATTAAACTCTTTCATGTTAGAAGTTAATCTGAAAATGTTGATGATTAAAAAAAATCCTGCGGTGAAATCAATTGGCAAACCACGGCAAAATCTTGAGTATGAGATAGAATTAACTAATGAAAAAACAATTGAGACACACCTGAGGTAGCCGGTGGTTGCCGTGTCTTCTTCATTGAGGTTGTCGGCCTATGCAATTCATTGTGAACGATAGAAATGAACCATAGAATCGGGCTATGTTGGAGCACAGATCTACGGGCTATAGAAACGGACATAGGTGTCATCTGCATCTATAAAGCACAGATCGATGATGCCAAAGAAATAGGCGCAAATAAAATCGTCGACGTCGTCTGTGTATTCTCCAGATCATCCGCCTTTCTCCATTGATGTCATATATACAAACCGTCACCCATTAAATAGTCCCCATTAACGCACGGTTATGGAAGAGGATGCTAGAGTTCCCGCTCAAAAAAACATCTTGGATTGAAACCTTAATTATGAAAAAATGTATGAAGAAATTGATGAAATTGAGATGTACCATAGCCGCTTCGTCAAAGTTGAAGAAGATGATGAACAGTACTCTCGCAACGACAACCTCCACTTTCTCCTTTTTCTCCGGTTGCTCCCTTCTCTCTGTCTTCTATGCTTCCATCGCCGTTTAGTGGGTGGTTACTGGTTAGGAGTTTAGGAATTTGGCTGCGATTGTTTAATACACATACCCGAACCGACGTCGTATTCTTGCAGCAGAAGTGAGCGGGAAATTTTTCCTCCTGCTCTTGTAACTAGGAAGATTCATTCTCCCTTCCTTAAATTTCATTCTCCCTCTTTCTAATTTCTCTTTTCCCTCCTCTAAAAAACCCTATCTCTCGTCGATTAAGGTCAGAAGAAAAATGTTCGCCACTTCACCGTACTTTCATGCCTGGAGCCAGAGCCGTCGATCCTCGTCGCTCCTATCTTCTTCGTCGCCATCGAGATACCTCGACACCAGGCAGTGGTCTTTCGATCCCCATAGAGTTCCCCGATCTCTACTGCCTCCAATTTACATGTTTTACTTTATCTTGAAAATACTCTAAGGGTCCGTTTGGTATACGGAATTGACGAAATTGGAATTGGATTGGAATTGAAATTCCATGGGATTCGATTCCATAGAATTGAATTCTGGCAATTCCAATTCATTTTTTGCACTATCAATTCAAAATCCACATAATTTTTGTGCTACCAAACATCAGAATTGGAATTGAAATCTTCAATTCCCATTCCATGGTTTGAATTCCATGTACCAAACGGGCCTTATGGTTAAATTATGTGAATTTCTTTGCATATCTCTTGAAAATACTCAAAATTCTTCAATTAAATGAATGAAAATATTCTAATTCTTCAATTATGAGGATTTATTTGCTTAATTTTTGTTACCTCAATTTGATTTTTGATTTTCTTTTTATTAATATACTTTTAGATCAGATTTTTAAATAAATTTTTTTATCTAAAAATATGATAGAATCAAAATTATGTTTTACTAGTTTTTTTGTTCACAACTACTAGGTTTACAGTAGGTTTGAAAAACAAATTTTGGAAATTTTATTTGAGAGCTCCATGTTGATTTCCCACACCTAAATCTTTCTATGAACTTTTTTTTGTGACTTTTATTTGTTGTTCTCCTCAATCTGTTTTAATATTTTTTCGGCAATTCAAAATTCCGGGTTCCATTGCCAAAGACTAACCAAAGCTTGAAGATTATAAAAAGACTAAGAGTATTTTCACACTTCTCATTTTGTAAATGACAGTTTTAACATATGGTCATAGTTAGGCCCCGTTCCGTTCAACTTATTTTTTCTTATTTTTTCTTATTCTTATTAAAATCAGATCAGATCAGATCAGATCCAATCAGATCAGATCAGATCAGATCCAATCAGATCAGATCCAATCAGATCAGATCCAATCAGATCAGATCCGATCAGATCAGATCAGATCAGATCCAATCAGATCAGATCAGATTAGGACTTATTAAAATTAGATCCCATCAAGAATTATTATTATTATTATTATTATTATTATTATTATTATTATTATTATTATTATTATAAAAATACTATATCTTCTATATATTAATTATCTAAATTTAATTATTTTTTAATGTATATCTAAATTAAATATTTATTCTAATGTGTAATTCTAATTTTACAAAAAAATAATTATAAAATAAAAATATTATTACATTATAATAAGAATGATTATTCTAATATATGAATTGACTATTTTTATTTTATTAAAAAATAATCATTAAATAAAAAATGTTGATTATATTATAATATGAATTATCATTACAATTTTCAAATTGTTATTATAAAGTCAAATTAAATTATTGATTTAAAATTTTAAATTAAATCATAATTAATCAGATTAGATGAGATCTAAACAGATCAGATCAGATCCAATCAGATCAAATCAGATCCAATCAGATCAGATCAGATCCAATCAGATCAGATCAGATCCAATCAGATCAGATCAGATTCAATCAGATCAGATCAGATTCAATCAGATCAGATCAGATCCAATCAGATCAGATCAGATCCAATCAGATCAGATCAGATCCAATCAGATCAGATCAGATCAGATCAGACCAGATCAGAACTTATTAGAATCAGATCAGATCAGAAAAAATAAGTTGAACGGAACGGAGCCTTAGTCTTCCCAAATTCCCTTTAAGAGTATTTTGTAACTGACTATATATATGGGTGTGTATATAAAGTGGTCACTCTTAGTATCAAGTCCCCTTTGTGAGCCTTTTTTTATAACTTATAAATGCTCCTTTACTAAAAACCATATCTTTTGACATAAGGGAAGTTTGTATAATGGTTTCTGATTGTACCGAGTCTTTATCGATGTGGGTATGGAGGTGGCTCTTGATGCTTCTGGGTCTGGTTTTGTTGATGAACCTATTTGCATTGGAGCAGCCTATGATGGACAAGAGTTTACTTGCAAGTCTTTCGTTAAAATTTCATTTTTAAATTTTAAACTAATCTATGACACTAGGTTCACATTTGGCTCCATGTTTGCAGGGTAATGCATTTAAAAAGGTTGGTGGGTGAGAGATTCCACTTCCCTATGGTGGTTTTCTTTGCACAATTGCACCCTGTAGTTAAGGTGCAAGTTTTATAAGTTTTTTTCTTTTTATTTCAATTAGCAATCTTTTGGCCCTTAGTTTTTTGGAGTTTGGAATGCTAGCAGGTTCTTTATGGTTAAAGGAAACAGAGGCTTCCAAAAGTTGAATCAATTTAATTTGATTGCTTGCTTTATGGGCATATGCTAGTAGATCATGAATATTATTCTAGCTCCTTGCGTAGTACGTTTTTTTGATTGAATTTTAACTTTGCTTCTTCAGTGGCTTTGGTCTCCGCTTCTGAAATGGAGTTTTACCCTCTGAAAAATGGTTGCGCAGAATCTAAAGTCTCTTAATTAAGAGATATGTTTGTAGTTTCTCTATCCTTTGTCAAAGACTATGAGGAAAAGGAATCACTACCCTATATACTTGTCTCAAACTGAAGTACAGTGATTGAAGGAGTGGATATTTTAGTGTAAGTGCCATATTTTAACAATTCAATTTCAAATTAGAATTTAGTTCATGTTTTTTTTGTAAACATTCTTTGTATTTATATTTACTTGCTGGTGCAGATCATTGGAAATTCCCACAAATTTATGTTAGTCCTAAAGCCATTCAAGTTTTAGGTGATACTTACTAATTTTTTTTTGTGCTTACTCAATGATTGGGTATGGAAGACCTATATGATTGCAGAATTGTCTTTGGCTGTTAGGCTTTGGAATCACTGGCTATGGAGTTCAATTGGTCTAAGGCAGTAGCACACACGGAAGTTAGTTTCTTTATGCTGATTTCTTTGAGTTCTAAAGGTTTATCCTTAGATGACTATAATAGGAGATGGTTGTTCTTGCACTATCAGGGCTGTGTTAACAGTCTTTAGTGTTTGCTTATAGCTGTTATTGCACTGCCAGTAGTTAGGGGTTGTTTTAGAGTTTGGTATCTGTTAGGTGGAATAAAGAAGACTACTTGTTATAAAATCTCTTGGCTTTGTTGGTTGAATCCATGGCTTTTGGATGTTCCTAGTTTTTGTGTTTGGATCTCATTATAAGGGGCTTTGGTTTGGTCCTCCCCTCATGTATTTCGTTGTTCTTTGTTCTAATAAAATATATTTCGTTGATCTTTATTTTAATAAAATATGAATTCAAAATCATATATATATATATATATATATATATATATATATATAGACACTTTCGGTCAGATGACAACGAATGCTCATTCTGAATCAATGTAGTGCTCATTCTTAAACAACGTAGGATTCATTCTCACACAACTACTCATCACAATGTAGTGTTCATTCCAAGCCAGCAAGACGACAACATAGGGTTCATTTTGAATCCACGTGGTGTTCATTCTAAGACATCGTAGGGTTCATTTTCACACACTTGTTCATTATAAATGTAGTACTCATTCTGAAACAACATAGTACTCATTCACAATCTGCTCTGAGTAGTGTTCATTCACAAATAAGGTGGTGCTCATTCTCAAACAAGGTGGTGCTCATTCTGAAGCATGTCATCTGACCGAAAGTGTCATCTGACTAAAAGATGTCATCTGACTGGAGTCAATCCCTATATATATATATATATATATATATATATATATATATATATATAGAGGGGTGGGTTCTAATAAGAATATATGTCAATGAAAGAAATAAGAATGGATTAGGATCCTAGGATTAGTTGTAACGTGTGGCTGAGATCAAATATTTAAAATAGGAAGTGTAATTATTATTTTACACTCCTTTTGACGGTAGAATCACGGAAGGGCATATTTGGGAGATTTGATTTTACTGAAATGCGTAGATGTTGGAGAATCCCGCCTAATAAGCTGCAAGCTCAGAATAGAACTCTTCACTTCTCAATAAACCTCACTGGTTGCGCTGCTTTTCTTGCGTTCGTGGTGCAGAGATTTTACATTATCAAGGTTTTATTGCTGCATCTGGGTTGGAATAGTGCGCTTTGCATACCGGCGATAGTGTATTGCAGAGATGGAGGGTGAGGGAGAACCTGGTATGTGCCTCTTTTTTGGTGTTGTTTGGGAGAAACGGGTTTTGGGCGGGGGGTTTTTTGTTTTGCATGTGTTTGAGGATGCATTTGTAACTCATGATACTGGTTGCTGGTTGGGAAAATGATGTTTTACTGCTGAATTTGGCTGTCCGTGAGGGTATGGGGTCCTCGGATTAAAAGTTTTTTCAAAAGTGTTTGTGTTATGTAAGTGTAGATTTTCATTACTAGGTTGATTCCGAGAGCACAGAATTGTTTTTTATTGTTTGGGTTGAATTTCGTGGGTTCTGTTGAGGGAGGGGACAATGTTGCGTGTTGGTCTTCAAGCAGACATTTTTTACACCGAGGCTATGTGTTTATTTTGTATTCTCTGAATCTGGGACAATACGGGGGTTTGATTTTATTTTTAAAGTTGTGTGTGGGTTTTTTGTGCATTATAACTTTTGGAAGGATGGATGTTTATTTTTGTTTTGATGATTATATTGTAAGTGTTGCAGTGTCATGTGTTTGCATCATCTTGGGGTTGATGTGCAGTTTGGGTTGGTTTCAAAAATTAGGCTGTTCTAAATCTGAGGAATGTGATTTTTTTATTTAAGTGTTTACTGTGTTTTGTTAAATTATTTTAGTAGTTGCGACGTGTATATAGGGTTTTTATGCTATTTGTTGTCCTTATAGCGTACTTAATAGATTGTGTTATTATTTGTTAAAGAAAATGACTTGCGTTCTGTGAGTGCGTTTCGTGTATTGCATGTGGATATCTGGTTTTTTATGTTATGATGTGTTGGTGATTGAAGCATGTGTACTAAGGAGTTATACTTTACATTTTAAGTTGTGTGCGAAGTGTTCCACAGTTGTTTCCTGTGAATAAGAGGCATGTTTTGGTCTGAGCAATGTGATAGTGTGAGTGAGGAAAATGTTATAGACTGGCTTCAGATTAATGAATTATTGGTGTATTGTAAGCAGAGATGTGAGTTGTATGAATTAGAAGTATTGTAAGTATTTGTGATTTTGAAATTTGTGCGGTGGAGTTTGATAGTGTTCAGCTGCAGTCAGGAATTGGCTGTGTGGTCTGATGCATATACTGTATTAGTTGGTGTTTCTTTGGCTTTCTACAATGCATGGATTAATATTAGCATTGATGGGGACTTACTGAGCATCTAGCTATGTTAATTATGTGGTACTGTATCAATCTGTAGGCTATTAATCTGCTTTGTGATTGATATTTTATTTTGGTTTATTGAAATGTTGTGAATTGAAATTTTGTGCATTTCATTCTAAGACATAAGTGTTTAGTTATTTAAAGTGTAAAATGGTTTGGTTATTCTAATTTGATGTTTGATGTGTAATGGTTGTTTGCGTGGCCACACAAACAACAGATTGGCGTTGTTATGTTTTGTGTTGTGATTTGGCATTGTATCATTGATTATGAGAATTTTTTTTTGGTTTTTTTGTTGGGTCTGCAGATCTTGCCTTGAAAAGAAGTTCAAAGCGCAGCAAGAAAACTGTTGTCATGGCTTCACCGATTCGAAGAAGCGGTAGATTGCAAATTGCAGAGATTAAGAAAATGCCCAAAGTTCACACTGTGCATGTCGACCTGAGTGATGATGATGAAGATTCTGTGGACAATGGTGCTGCCAATGGGAATGACAATGCTGGTTCGGATGTGTCTGGAGATGATGCAGTGAGTGGGGGAGATGAAGGTGGGAATGCAGAAGAGGAGACTGACAGTGATGATGCATTTGATTACCCACCTCGGAATACCTCAACTGACCCTTCATGTGAAACATATAACAGAAAGTAGAGAAAGAATTCTTATTGATTTATTGTGTTGTAACCAGAGATTTCTCCCTCAATATATAGGGAGAAAAGTATGCAAAACTAACTAGGAAAAGAACACCAAAACCAACTGGGAAAGACAGCTATCACAAAGAGTATTCCTAAAAATAGGGAAGGAAACAAAGTCCTTTTGGGAGTAAAAACCCATTCCAGCCGTGCATCCCAAGTGTGCCGCCCACGTAACACCCCCCCTCAAGCTGGAGCATGGGGATTCCGCGTGCCCAGCTTGGACAAAAGATGATTAAATGGAATGGCGCCAAGGGATTTTGTGAAGATATCCGCAGGTTGTTCAGTTGAAGAAACATGTTCCGTACGAAGGATGCCTTTCTGAATTTCGTCTCGAACAAAATGACAATCAATTTCAATGTGTTTAGTGCGTTCATGAAAGACGGGATTTGCTGCGATGTGTAAAGCATCCTGATTGTCGCAGTAGAGATCCATTGGTTGGGGATGCCGAACACCAAGGGAGAGTAACAAAGACCGTAGCCATTTTAATTCACAGACTGCCATTGCCATGGCCCGATATTCTACCTCTGCGGAGGAACGAGACACAGTCTTCTGCTTCTTCGTGCGCCAAGAAAGGGGAGAATCGCCTAAGCAGATGAAATAGCCAGAGATAGAACGACGAGTAAGGGGACAACTTGCCCAGTCAGAATCACAAAATGCCGTGAGCTGGAGAGGCCCTGAGGCCGAAAGGAAAAGTCCTTGCCCTGGGCGAGTCTTTATGTAGCGGAGAGTGTGTATAGCAGCCTCCCAATGTTCTCGTCGTGGGTTTGCCATGAATTGAGATAGAATATGGACTGCATACGTCAAATCCGGGCGTGTAATAGTAAGGTAAATGAGACGTCCAACCAAGCGACGATATTGGGACGGATCAGAAAGCAGCGGGCCGTCTGCCAGTGCGAGACGGTGGTTCGCTGGCAGTGGAGTAGCAGCCGGACGGCAGCCCAAGTAGCCTGTTTCGGAGAGAATGTCCAGGGCATATTTCCGTTGAGAAAGGAACAGGCCAGAGGGGTTGCGTGCAACTTCGACGCCCAGAAAGTATTTCAACAAGCCAAGATCCTTCATATGAAAACACTTCAATAAATAGTTCTTGAACCGGGAAATAAACGCCTCATCATTGCCAGCAAGTACCAAATCATCGACATATATAAGAACCCGAAGTTCAATAGGACCACGCACAAGAGTGAAAAGTGAATAATCTGCCTTGGATTGAGTGAAGCCGTAAGCCCGGAGAGCGGTGGTCATTTTCGAAAACCAACAACGGGGTGCTTGGCGTAGTCCATAAAGTGATTTATGCAGCCGGCAAACCAATCCCTGTCGGCGAGAAGCAAAGCCAGGAGGAAGCTGCATATATACTTCATCGTTAAGATCCCCATGGAGGAAGGCGTTATGAACATCCATTTGATGAAGGCTCCAGTTCCGTATAGCTGCCACTGCCAACAAAGCTCGAACGGACACGAGTTTGGCGGTGGGAGCAAAGGTCTCTTTGTAGTCAATGCCTTCCTTTTGACGATTGCCGAGGATCACAAGGCGGGCTTTGTAGCGCTCAATGCTTCCATCAGACTTGTGTTTAATTTTGTACACCCACTTGGAACCAATGGCCTTTTTGTTTGGAGGTAAAAGGACCAGAGACCAAGTTCCGTTAGCATGAAGGGCATCCAGCTCATCCTTCATTGCCTGTCGCCAATGCGGGTGTTTAACCGCCTCTTTGAAACTGGTGGGCTCCTCGTCTGCAGTAATAGCTGCCAAAAAACTTCTATGACGAGAAGAAAAGTTATCACAGTTAACAAATTTAGTGATACAGTGAGCCGTACCTGAAGTGGGGACCGGAGTAGGTGAGCAAGCTGGCGTACTACGAACAGTGTGCATGACAAAATCACGTAGATGTGACGGAGGATGACGCTCGCGTTGGCTTCGTTGAATGGGTTCCCGCCCTTGAGGGGTGTCCAGAATTGGGGAAGAAGTTGGTGGTATGGTTTCTGGAGGAGGGTTGGATGGCTGGTTGTGTTCAGGTAGGGTTTCAATGTGGGGTGGCGTGGAGAGTGGGACTGGGTTTTCGGGTTGGGTAGGTGTGTCAGTTTGAAGAGGTGTTTCGGTTTGGGGGTTGGTGGTTGTATCTGGGGTTGGTGTGGTAGGGTGGTTGGTGGTGGAGGAAGGGACGGGTAGGATGCCGGGGAGAGAGTCGACATAAGGTTCGTCATCGATAGCTGTCTTTTCCCAGTTGGTTTTGGTGTTCTTTTCCTAGTTAGTTTTGGATACTTTTCTCCCTATATATTGAGGGAGAAATCTCTGGTTACAACACAACAAATCAATAAGAATTCTTTCTCTACTTTCGTGTTATTGATTTGTTGTGTTGTAACCAGAGATTTCTCCCTCAATATATAGGGAGAAAAGTATCCAAAACTAACTAGGAAAAGAACACCAAAACCAACTGGGAAAAGACAGCTATCACAAAGAGTATTCCTAAAAATAGGGAAGGAAACAAAGTCCTTTTGGGAGTAAAAACCCATTCCAGCCGTGCGTCCCAAGTGTGCCGCCCACGTAACACTTCAACGAGTGCTTCGAGGAAGAATGCTGCAACTGTAAAGAAACGAAAGAGGGAGGGGATAACAAAATTGAAGGAGAAGTACCTACGAATTCAGTCGAGAGCTTCTCCCAACGTTTTGCTAAAAGTGGTTGAAGCTCTGAACGAAGTTCAGAGGCGGGAAGTTTTGAGAATTGGGTTTGGGTCTATTTTAAGGATCAAGTTAACAGAGCTCCCGGCGAAACTAGGATTTTGGTTGGTAGAGAAATTTAATCCTAGGAGTAGCAGTCTTGAACTTGCTGATGGAACGAAGGTGCGTGTTACGGTGGATGATATTAGACATGTGTTGGGTTTGCCGTGTGGGCGTGGTAAGGTAGTCAGCAAAAAAAGGTGAGAAGTGTGATATACTGGAGCAGTTGAGGGTAGAGATCAGAAGGAGAGACAACAAGATCACCCCTTTAGAGCTTAGTGAAAAGGTACTACAATATACTGATGGTGGTATATGGTTTGTTCGTCTTTTCGTGTTGTTAGTCGTGTCAGTTTTGGTTGATAGCCCGAGCCATGGGTATGTAAACAATTGGGTGTTGAAAAGCTTGGAGGATGTGGATGGGATTGCTCAGTTAAACTGGTGTGAATATGTGCACCGAGCATTGATTGACAATAGAGTGAAGTGGGAGAAGGGAAATAGAAAGTACTATACAGGGCCTCTACTGTGCTTGATGGTAAGAGTTTTGTTTTCTTATGACTCTAGTTTACTTCATTATAATGTAGTTGTTTTTTTAATTTAGTCTTTGATGTTTATTTTTTAAGGTGTTCTACGTGGACCGAGTGGTGCTCTATAGTAGAGACGTTGAGAGAATGTCGCCTGCATTTTTGGGATGCACATCAAAGATCCTAAGGGATAGGGAAAACAATGAGGTCAAAGCTGGTGGATTCGGGTTGGGGTATGACGATGGAAGATTTGTTGGTGAGGTGATGGATGTGAGCTCTGGTGACAAAGATGTTGGGGCAGGTGTAGAACAGGTTAATGTGGAAAAAGGTAATGGTGATGCACCAGAACCAAGGGGAGAGACGAGGGATGATTCGGTTGAGGTAAGTGTGGGGGGGGGGATTACTTAGCAAACCCTGTAATGTTTATTTTTACCCTGGGGTTGTTGAAATTTAATACTTTTTATTTTATGACACCCTTATGCATCAGGTTTTTGTTCAAAAGTTTGCAGAAAAGGGGAGAGTTCTGGCTACTACAATCATCGACCTAGTGTCGTTGATTGAGAGTGCACCACCTGGTACCATTGAGAATGATGTGTTCAAGCAGTTGCAGCTTGCAACGGGTAGATTATTGGGTCTGGCACGACGTAGAGGTGGTGGAAGCTTAGAAACACCTGATGGAGGTTTTTCTGAGGTGACTTATGATGAAGGTTTCTGGAGCGACCCTGCAAACATAGATCAGTTGATAGCGAATGAACAGGCAGTGCTGGCACGTTCAAAATACAAGAAGATCATGGAGGATATGCCATCGTTTAGTCTGGGGTTCTCGCAATTGGATGGAGAGAATGAGAATGTGAATATTGATGGTGGTGATATCGGTGTTTGCAGAAATACACCTAGCACTCCTGCAGTTCGGGTTGTGAATGGGCCAGAGAGTAACCCTGGGGTTGAAAATGATTGCATAACACCTGTAGAAGTGCAGTGTCATGTGAGAGATGTAATTTTAATAATTGCCGTAGAGTGTGTCCTTGGTGTTGTGTAGAATGTTGTTTTGTGTACCATAACAATTCTTATTGGTTATGTTTGTTTATTGTTTGTGGTTGCAAGAAGTTGAAAGGGATTTGGCTGGTGGAAACAGGAATCAGCCAGACAGGATTGGTATGACAGCGGTAAGACCTTTATTCGTAGTGGTGTTGGTGATCTGTGTGTTGCATAATGTTACGTGGTGATAACACCAATGATTGATATACGCGTAGGGTGCTGGTGTGAGTGAAGTGGGTGATGTAACTGTGCGAGGAACTGTTCCAGAATGTCCAAAAGCAGTGGTAGGAATGTTTTTTCGGAGATGACAAAAATTAATTCGTGCATGGTAAGTGGTTGTTTGGTTGGATTGTTTGGTGACTTAATGAGAAATTTTATTGTTATGTGGTAGGTGAAGCCATTCAATGCAGCAAGGAAGTTGGCTAGGACATTAAAACCTGCGGGCCCTTTGAGATCACCCTACCTTACACGACCAATAGATCTTTCCAATGGGTTATCTGTCCTGGAGAGGAGGGTGACGAATTGGGTGTTGTAGAATCCAAATGCTCCAAAGTAAGTTTTTGTTTTGGATTCTGCAATTTTGATAGAAAAATATTGAATGTGTATGGATTAAAATTTGCATGTTAGCTCTTTAATAATCACATATTATGATGTTTAGGGATGAAGCTATTTTCGTAAAGGATGGGTTAGAGTTGACACGAAGTGAAATTGCATCGTTGGATATTGGGAAACATATTTCCAAGAGGGTGATAGATGTGTGGTCAATAATACTCAACCACAATGAGAAATTCAGAAGTGACAAATCCCCACTGCATGTGTTTGCTAGGAGCATGGATTGTGTAAGCTGTTTTTTCAGTGTGCATACTTAAGTTTGAATGGGGATTATCATGTTGCTTGATCTGATATGTGTTGAAATCAAAAGGTTGCAAATGGGGATATAGTCGATGTGTCTGGGGCAAACGTGAAGAACATGTTTGCGAATGCGCTGCTTCATGCGTGGGATGACATGGCAGATGATTTCAACTGGGGGAAAGCTGAACTGGTAAGAATGTTTTTAGTAGACACAATGTGAAGATTGAAATTAGTTGTATCATTCTGCTTGGTTTATCAGTAGATCATTGTTTTTGATGGAATCTGTTAATGAGTGATTTTTTGGAATATGTGCAGTATTTCTTTCCTATTATGCAACGGAACTGGGCATATGTGTTGTGTGTTGACCTAAAAAGCAGACGGTGTGACATCCTGGATAGCTCTTCAGCGAAAGCAAAAAACGAAGACAGATATGGTGACATGCCAAAGCGAGTTGTAAGAACTTTGGGTGCATATATGGTTTTTAGGATAATGTGGATGATTTATTAATATGAAATGTTTCAACCAGGTGAGATTGTTGGGTGATTTTCTTGAGCAGCAGAAGTTTTTTTACAAAGGTAAATGTGTTAAAGAAATGGTTGCTAAGAGAAATACTTTCCCTTGGAGAGATCCGAAGGCTACATTTGACTATGGTGTGGCAACCATGCGTCATATGGAGACATATATGGGGGATGGTGGCAAGGGATGGAATTGTGGCTTGTCAAAGTTAAATCTGAAGCCTATGAAGTTGCTGCGATTCAAATACTGTGCATGTATACTTCTAAACCCAGTTAATTCACTGTTGGACAAGGTTTACGAAGAGTCGGAGAAACTCGAAAGGGAGAGAAAGGGAAAGGATCCTAAGTGAACCCACCTCTAGAATGGCTGCATCTTTTCAAATTTATTGTTGAATTATTCTTATTTCTCGTTGGTGGAAGTTGGTGACACCATAAATTGATGGAAGTTCTATTTGGGCACTAGTTAACAGCCCATAGTTTGGTTTATTTATTTATTTTTAATACAATATGGATTTGAGGAAATTGTTTTTTGTAGATGGTTTGAATGGTTATGGGTTTTTGAATGAATTTGTGGTATTGCAATATTTGGTGCCTTTGTGGTTTTTTAAGAATGTGTTTGTCATTTTGTATTTTTGGAGTGTTGTAACTGGTTGGACTAAGTGAATATTAAACAGGTTTTCTGTTTCGAGATTTGTGAACATAGCGATTGATGAAGTGATTGAAATTGTATTTGTTCGAAACAGAGGTTTCTACATAGTGAACATGAGTACCAATGTATGCATCATTACATAACTCTAATAGTGTTATAATAAATCAATGACAAGGCAAAATATATTTATTGAAATGGTATAAAACCATCGAATCTTGCTGAGGAAAAGGGGAGATAACCATTTACTTTCGGCTTTTCCCTCAAAATTCATGCCTCCCAAAAAAGTCTGAAAAATGCATCAAAGGTATTTGCTTGTGCATTTCTGGGTGATTGAGCCGCATATATTGTCTGTGACATACTACGACGTACATTATATGCATTACCATTTATAAACGTTCTATAAACAGGGCAAGCAGGTTTAGTAAACAAAAACCCACTCTATATGGTGTTAAAACCTCAATCTAAAAGAAACCCATACATGAAATAAAATTAAAATATGCTTCATATTCACCTGAATATATCAATATATTGGTATGAAATCTATTTTATAGGTGGAATGCACAACTCTTGTATGAATATTCAGTTAAAGAGTGGTCACCATTTTTGACACAACTGATTTATGCAGTATTAAAAAAATGAAATGCTACAGGGAGAGAAGAAGGTGATACATTGAGTAGAAAGCATGTTATAATGGGAGGTGAGAGTTACTGACTGTGAGAATGGGGGGGGGGAAGAATTGGTGTTGAAAATGAGCAATTCGAGCATTGGAATTGTTTTTTTCTATTCAGGAATACAAGAGTTGGTAAAAAAACAGAGACATATAGATGGAATATAAATAATTGAAAATTTAATAAACAATAAAAGTGGAACATGAAAACAGACTTATCACTTCTCATGGTTCATAGGACAGTTCCTGCTGTCGTGGAAACCATATTCTTTGCATGTCCGACACAAGCGTTTGGTTTTCTTTGATTCTTCAATGCGAACTTCCTTTCCTCCTTTGATACGCTTACCGCTACCCTTCGTACTTACTTGGACAGGGGGTAATACACGAACTTCTGAAGGTGCAGAAGTGCCACAAAAGTTTTCAAACACCGAGGATGTGACAGAAGACAGTTTGCCATCTTGAAGTTTGTCGATTAGCGCCTCCTTGTGCTGATTTATAGTGTTGGAAAAGGCAAGTAGCAGATCAGGGTTATGTTCCACCAAGGCAATACAAAAGTGGATGTCTGACATCAATCGAGAAACAAGAGTCTTATTTTGATCCGTAAATGATACCTTGTCCATTTCTGAGCCACCGATATCGAACAATATTGGTTTGAGCAAGTGGAATTTGCACCAGCGATTGGTAACATACAGGTCAGGGATCTTTTCTATTTTCAAGTTTTTGAAAACAACAAAGATGTGCCTGCATAGCAAGCCAATGCGTTCGTAGTTTTTGCAACTGCAGTGCGCGGTCCCATCACGTTCACAGTAGCGGACAGTTGATATCATACCACTTACATCGCTGATCTGATACTCGGAAGCATCCTCACTATTTTGGATACATACAATAGAGCATGAAAAGCAGGATGCACAAATCTCTTTTTGCACATCATAAAAGACAGAGAGTGAATAACGATGCAGCATGTTTCTCAATCTTTAAAGGGGTTTTGAACACTGGAATTCCCGACTCGGATTCTGAGTTCAAACGAGTAAATTTGAACTCTTGGTCTTCCATTGCACTCTCGAATTGCATTAATAATTCAACTAGACTAAAGTTGCGATCGGTGAAATCGTTAAAGAAACCGTTTTCACTCTCTGATCTAGACGTAGTGCGCAATAGCCCGGCCATAAATAGATCCCTGAAATAGGTTGGGATCCAAAACTTACGTAACATGTATAAATACTTGAACCACGAATGCTCAGTGAGGTTGTAGTCTGCCATAACATTGTGCCATTGTGCTTTCCATTCTTTTTTTCCAAGTAATGAGTCCAGACCACCTGATTAATGCGATTCATGAATTCCGTATCCTTGCTTAACACCGGACCAACCTTCCCTAATAGTTTGTTCATAATATGCTACATGCAATAGTGATGCTTGGTTTGTGGTAAGACTTCTTCGATTACAATTTGCATGGAGGGATCTTGATCAGTTATGATGCATCTTGGAGCATTCCCCATTGCGTTCATGAATGATCTCAACAACCATGAATATGACTCACTGTCGTCACTTGACAATAAACCAAAGCCGAATGTCACACATTTTTTATGGTTGTCAACACCAGTGAATGGAGCGAATATCATCATGTACCTGCAACAAGTGATAAGGCCATGGATAGTGCTATGAATGAACAAAGTGTTGCATGCGATATTGGGATGAGGTGAGATGTGGTAAATGAAAATTAATAGATGTGTGACCTGTTGGTAGTATATGTGGCATCAAATGAGACAACATCACCAAACAGGGAGTAGCTTTTCCTAGAAGCAGCGTCACACCAAAATAGCCTGGAAAGCTGGTCGTACTCGTCAACTTCATAATCAAACCTAAATCCAGGGCATACTTCTGATTTTCGGAATAATTTATCAATGACCATTTGGGCATCTCCACCAGCAATATAGGCCTTCAAATCGCGTTTGAAGTTTTTGAAGTCCACAGCAGTAGCACCAACACTTGAATACCCACCAACAGATTCCTTGAAAAGTCGGTATGATTTCATGGTGCCAATGTTCGCTTTAGCACAGTTGAGTATGAACTTCTTATGGCCTAGATCAATATTCCTATTGATCTTCAAAAATGGCCTGTAGGGGAAAGAAGTGAGAGGATGATTGTGCTGTTCTTCGAATATGCTGAGAACGTAACCAACATGTCCAAGGATGCGAAACGCAACACGTGCCATACAGCCTATACGCTTAGAAATGCGTCTTCTTCTCCCAGGTTTAGATAATGCAGCCTGTCCATTGTCATGTGATGCATCATTGTGGGAGATTGTGGGGACATGTTTTTTACCCTCGCGGCTACATACAACGTATTGCCATGCCAAACAACGGAGCCCTTTTTCTTTGTAGTGGTAGTCTTGCGCACATCAAACCCCGCCTGAGCAGCATATGCACGATAGAAACGAATAGTATCATCCAAGTCCTTAAAAACCATGCCGACCTTTGGAATGTTAACGAAAGGTGTTTAAAGGACTTAACGAAGTATTTTAGACACTCAAAATATCAAGAATAAGATTTGCACACCCAAACATCCGACGCAAACGGTCTTGTTAGGAAATTGATAAATAATCAAAAGAAATAAAAAAAAGGAATATAGAAAAAAATGGCAATCAACAATATAGGCGCCACTTGAAAAGGGAAAAGAAACACATTTGTAGTGGACAAAATGTGCTGTGTCAACTTTGGCTCATCATCACATGGTGGGGACGGCTAGCTCTTATTGGAGAATGGATGGATACACGCATTTGGTTCTTATAAATGTGAAGAGAATCAGAGATGAGTAGTGTGTGTGGTTTACACACCAAGGTAGAGAGAGAAGAGGAAGAGAGTTCTACACAAGAATACCACCGGGAAAATCCAAGGGGTCTTGGTGAGTGTGGGTGAGTGTAGGGAGTAACTGGTTTTAGTTACTCAGAAAAATACATCTGGGCATAGGATGTGGAAAGATCTGTTTATAAGTGTCTGAAATTTAGCCTTGTAACCAGGGGAGAGTTTTTTGTATATTGTCCTGAAATAGTGAAAATATAATTTTTCTCTCATATATATTCTTCTTGTGTTTGTTCTCTCATTTTTCTGGTGTTCTCAATATTTTTGGTATCTTACACACTTAAAATCCCAGGAATTGGTATCAGAGCTTGGTTGCGCTGGGCAGGAGAGATTTGTAAGCGGTTAAAAATGAAATTTTGAGAACTCAGGGACTGGTCGGTTTTGGCGAGAAGGCAACCGTGGGACTTCAAGAACAAAGTGGATGGCATGAGGACCGGGTAGGAAGCGGCATGTTGGCTTTGTGAAGTGCGGGAACAGGACTTGAGGAGAGCGGTGGTCTAGCTGAGTGGAAACTGCGGTTTATGTCTTGTGTCGAAAGTCTTCCCGACAAGAAGAGGTCGGGCGGCGTGTCCCGCAGGTGTTGCTGCGGCGGTGCAAGATGAGCAGATCGATAGAAGCTAATTGTCTCGTTTTTTATCTCGTGGTGGAGGGTTAAAACTCTAAGGAGCTAAGGTTGTGGCGGGTTGGTTGAGATCGAGCCACGGGTACAATGATAACTGGAAATGGTGAGGACCTTGTCGTATTGAGCAAGGTGAGGCCACGACCATGAGTCAACACATGGTGGCGGAGAGCTTGCGTTATTGAGCAAGATAGGACATGAAAATTTTTTCAAGGTGGTGGTGATCTTGGTGGTTGAACCAAGGTGGAGCCACAAGGATTTTTTTTCTTCTTTGAGGTTGGCAGCGGTGATCTCAGTGGAGCATACTAAGATGACGCCAAGGATTTTTTATATTTCGGAGTAGCGGTGATCTCACCGAAGAAGTGAGGTGGAGCTACAAAGTTTTTTAATTATTTAATCAAGGTGGAGTTTGTTAGGAAATTGATAAATAATCAAAAGAAATAAAAAAAGGAATATAGAAAAAAATGGCAATCAACAATATAGGCGCCACTTGAAAAGGGAAAAGAAACACATTTGTAGTGGACAAAATGTGCTGTGTCAACTTTGGCTCATCATCACATGGTGGGGACGGCTAGCTCTTCTTGTAGAATGGATGGATACATGCATTTGGTGAAGGGTAACCACGGTCGGGAGAGCAGCGGAAATACAAAAATTTAATCTCCCAATAGTGATTACTAGCCCAAGAACGTGTACTAAAACTATAGCTAGAGATAGAAACTTATACCTTCTCCGGTAAAGCGGTATGAACGAGAAGTCGAGCAAAAGATGTTGAAGGAGCAAACGTAGCCGTTCAAGCGTCCGGCCTCCAACTTTGACACACGAACAATCTCCGGAGTCTACTATAATCTTTATGCTAGTAAAGATTATAATAGTATATTTAATATAAAGATTATTTTAGGGATAATATAAATCTTGTATATTAAAAGTAGAAAATATATCAATAATATTTTAAAGAAAATATTATAACAATTTTCTACACCCAAAATTATTTTGGAACCCAAAAGAATTCTCTCTCTCTTCTCCTTTTCTTGGCCGAACAAAATGGAGTGAGTTGTGTGTTTAAAGGGGTTCCATTTTAATCAAATGATAAAACATGACCAAGAACAAAAGGCCAAAAGGATTTGTCAAATGCTCCTCCTCCACATATTGTAAAGTGGGAGACAAAGCCCACTCACTCATGCAGGGTACGAAGTGTTGATTAGGGGAGAGGAAATTAATTCTTCTCCTCTCAAATGTTCAAAGTGTATTTTATTTGACATCAATAATTTTTATGATATAAAATAAAATACCCAAAACATTTTAAAACAAGTATATAAAATATACTTTAAAATAGTTTTTGTCAAAATAATTATTTTCATAATTAAAATGAAACTCCAATTTAAAATGTACACAATATAATATATAATGTAATATATATATACATATATGTACACGTTATAAGTATATTACATATATATGTACCCACGCACATTATATATGTATATATGTGTGTGCCGTGTACAAAGTATATACATATATATATATATATATATATATATATATATATATTATATTAAACATTTTACTTTACTATTTTACAATATACAAATTATATATTATCCCTTCTTATAATCCTACTCTTTAAATTGTCCAAAGTGTGTGACCCATATAGGCACTTATAAAACTGGCCACAGTATTGACTCTACACCAATACTATAAGTAATAAGCGGTATCTAGCAACACATTGTTACCCCCAGATTATAAGTTCAGACGTTTGCTTCGTCAAAACCTTTCTACGACTAAGACTTTGTATAACGTAGATCCTTTTGTCCCAATGTCTTAACTTAGTGCAAGGGATATAAAATATCCAACTTGTAGCCATTAAGTTATTTACTGATTAACAAGTCTGACTAATGAGAACAGATGTCTTAACTCATCTCAGCATGGCCATGCATTTCTTCAGTCATACTTATTAGTGGGCTCCTACAAGACATTATTCTGCTTGAGTAGCAGTGACAAATTCTTTGTACGTAATCTACGTCTTCGAATACGTGCAGCGGCATGCCCAATACAAAGCCTGTGTACCATCCTTATTTCATACGGCTTATGACAATGAATCAAGCATGCGGGTTCACACATTCGAATAACGTAATACTTCAAGTTTGAGGATCGTTATACCAATAGTCGCATTAAGGACCCTTAGAGCATAGACTAAAAGTCTAGGCAATGCCCTAAAGGTGGGTCAGGTCTGGCATCCTATTATTAACGATAATATCTGCCCGAGAGTAGATGCGAACACTCCGTCATTTGACCAAGAGACTAGGTCAAACATCTAACTCTCACTAGTCTCACACGCATTAACGATATCTTGCTTTCGTTAATGCTTCGACTATAGACCGTTCAGAATTATACTAAGTGACAAGATGTCAGTCTCAACATCAGAAGACTCATTCTGATAAACATCTTATAATATAATTCTAGGAATGCAATTAAGAGTTTACATTAGCATGAGATGTTTGTAAACTTAATGCATCTGCCTTTACATGATAGAAAATATCTAAGATATTACATTAGCAGTTGGCCATAAGGGCACGAACTCCAACAATCTCCCACTTGCACTATGGCCAATCTGTCATCGGTCGAATGCCCATTGACCTAGTGTGACCCTCATGCTTTAGCTTTCCCAAGGGCTTGGTCAGGGGGTCGGCTATGTTGTCGTCTGTTTCTACTTTGCAAATCTCTATATCACCTCTGTATACGATTTCTCGTATGATGTGATAACGTCGTATAATGTGCTTGGTCTTTTGGTGGTGAGATCGTGGTTCCTTTGCTTGTGCAATGGCCCCAGTGTTGTCGCAAAACAACGGGATTGGGTCATTAATGCTAGGAACCACTCCAAGTTCAGAAATGAACTTCTTTATCCAAACACCTTCCTTTGCTGCTTCAGCAGCAGCCATGTACTCAGCCTCTGTAGTTGAATCGGCGGTTGTGTCCTGTTTAGAACTCTTCCAGCTAAAAGCTCCGCCATTCAGGCAAAACACATACCCTGCTTGTGACTTGTAATCGTCTCGATCGGTTTGGAAGCTCGCATCAGTGTAACCGATCACTTTCAGCTTTTCCTCACCACCATATACCAGGAATGCATCCTTAGTATTCCAAAGATACTTTAGGATGTTTTTGACCGCTGTCCAGTGTGCTTCACCTGGATTCCCCTGGTATCTGCTGGTCACGCTTAAAGCAAATGAGACTTCAGGTCTAGTACATATCATGGCATACATGATGGAACCAATTGTAGAAGCATATGGGACCTTCATCATGAGTTCCTTCTGCTCGGGAGTAGAAGGACTCTGGCTCTTGGAAAGAGCCGTGCCAGGTAACATAGGTAAGGATCCCTTTTTCGAGTTAGACATGCTAAATCGATCAAGGACCTTATCTATATATGTACTTTGACATAGACCTATCAACCTTTTTGACCTATCACGGTAGATTCTTATGCCAAGGGCATAACTAGCATTCCCTAAGTCCTTCATGGTGAAGTTCTTGCTCAACCAAGTCTTTATAGATGTGAGAGCAGGAACATCGTTACCCATTAACAATATGTCATCGACATATAGGATTAGGAATACTATCACACTCCCACTGACCTTCTTGTACACACAAGACTCGTCAGAATTCTTCTCGAAACCAAAACTAGTGATGGTTTCATCAAAGCGTATATACCAACTCCGAGATGCTTGTTTCAATCCGTAGATTGACCGTTGCAGCTTATAGACTTTGGCAGATTCACCAGCAATTATAAAACCGTCAGGCTATGTCATATAGACATCCTCTTTGAGGTTCCCGTTAAGGAAAGCCGTCTTGACGTCCATCTGCCAAATCTCATAATCGTAGAATGATGCAATCGCGCGCAAGCATTATCCGAATGGACTTCAGCATCACAACTCGAGAAAAGGTTTCATCATAGTCAATTCCATGGATTTGTCTATAACCTTTTGCCACCAATCTAGCTTTGAAGGTATGAACCTTCCCGTCTACGTCTGTTTTCTTTTGAAAATCCACTTGCACCCTATGGGTATTATCCCTTCGGGCGCAACAACCAAGGTCCAGACTTGGTTTGCGTACATAGACTCCATTTCGGATTTCATGGCATTAAGCCATTGTTCGGATTCGGGGCACGTGATTGCCTCGAGGTAGGTCTCAGGTTTGCCTTGGTCTACCAGCAAGACGTCACCTTCATCAGATACAAGGAAGCCGTATCTAACCGAAGGATTACGCATCCGGTCTGACCTACATGGTAAAACCTGACCCGGTCGAGATACTAAATCTTGACGCTCGGGTTCCACTGCTATTGAGATCTCTTCTTGTGGTTCTCGAATTTCTTCGAGGTCTACCTTTCTCCCACTAGAAATAGCAGAGAGAAACTCCTTCTCAAGGAAGGTTCCGTGTCGAGCAACAAAGATTTTGTTATCGGTCGGATGATAGAACTCATACCCTTTTGTTTCCTTAGGGTATCCCACAAATTTACACCTGTCAGATTTGGAATCCAGCTTACCAGACGTCATGAGGCGTCTAACGTAAACATCACAACCCCAAATCATCAAGTACGACAAATTTGGTTTTGTCCCACGCCATAGCTCGTATGGTGTGCTCTCAACAGCCTTAGATGGTACGCGATTGAGTGTGTGTGCGGCAGTTAATAATGCTTTTCCCCAAAAAGACTCTGGTAATGTTGTCTGACTCATCATACTCCGAACCATATCGAGCAGCGTTCGGTTTCTCCTTTCAGACACTCCATTTAATTGGGGTGTACCGGGAGGAGTCAGCTGGGATAGGATCCCGTGCTCTTTTAGATAGTCGTCGAACTCCAGGCTTAAGTACTCACCTCCTCGATCCGAGCGGAGGGTCTTGATACTTTTGCCTAATTGTTTCTCTACTTCGTTTCTGAATTCTTTGTACTTGTCAAAGCATTCCGATTTGTGTTTCATGAGATACACATATCCATACCGACTGAGGTCATCAGTAAATGTTACGAAGTATGAGAAACCACCTCTAGCTTCAGTGTTGATTGGGCCACATACATCAGAGTGTATGAGGCCTAATACATCACTCGCCCTTTCACCGCGACCGGTGAATGGAGCCTTTGTCGTTTTACCGAGTAAACAAGATTGGCATACATCATAAGACTCGAGGTCAAATGAATCAAGTACGCAAGAGTGACGTAACTTAGATATGCGTTTCTCGTTAATGTGGCCCAAATGACAATGCCAAAGGTATGTGAGATTCAAACTGTTTGGTTTGCTTCTCTTAACATCTACGTTATAAACAGTGGCGTCTAAGTCTAAGATATAAAGACCATTGGTCATCTTAGCAGTTGCATAGTAAATATCATTTCTGGACACCGAAAGGCACTTGTCTTTGACGTTAATAGAAAATCCTGCTTTGTCAAGACAGGACACAGAAATGATATTCCTGCTAATGGGAGGTACAAACAAGCAATTGTTTAAATGCAACAACAAGCCACTGGGGAGAGATAGAACATAAGTTCCTACAGCCAGCGCATTGACAAGTGCTCCATTTCCGACCTTAAGCTGGACTTCTCCCTCAGTCAAATGTCTAACTTCATGCAAATTCTGCATAGAAGTACAGATGTGAGAACCACATCCAGTATCCATCACCCAAGAGGTGAAATCAGACATGTTGACTTCAATAACGTAAATACCCGAGTTTTTGGGGTGACCCTGTAATAGGTCTCTTAAGTGATGTATCATAGGACGCGCTTCCATGTCCGCGTGGAGCCTTTGGAGCTCCGCGGTCATACTTGCCATAATGATACACTTAACATCTCGCGCGTCGTCCTCATACTTCTTGAAGGAAGTGAGTTCGGACGCACGAGCATTTGCCTTAGGGGTCTTGGGAGGATCCGTTTTGAGGGTGTAAAGTTTCCTCTCACAGTCAAGAACGATTTGTAGGTTCTTCTCCCAGTCAAGAAAGTTTTCCCCAGAGAGTTTTTGGCTCTCGAGGATATACCGCAGGTTGATGGAATGACTGTATGTGTTATTTGATGCCATCTACAGAATGAAATTGCAAACTAGGTTATCTATCATGTTGAATAATTAATTAGGCCTTTAATTAATTATTTCACACTATTTTAACAAACCAACAACCCTCAATGTTGATTCAGAGGTTCTCCTAGAGATTCTCTTAATGGGCCAAGATCCATATATCATTAAATTCTAGTTGACCTGAGGTTCGTACCTAGAATTTAACTATTTAGGTAGGAACATAGTTCCAACTGTCGAGCCGCGCTCACAGTTCTTGGTCTTGTGTTGGGCGAACGACAATACTACTTACGGACCAGAACACCGTTTCATTATACACGTGATTGGCTTTGGTACGTACCACATGCACAACTACTTTAGTTAAGGCAAATCCCAATTAAGTCATAAAGACCCAACTTCTGGCTGGATGGGTGAGTAAAGTAATTCGACCCCAACAAAACCCGCCTCTGAGTCATTCATCGATTTGACCGAGACTCAGTTAAGTCTAACCTAACGTCTGACAATGACCACTTAAGTGATTCCCGTGACCAGCATAACATACACCGTACTACGCTCTGCTAGGGCTGAGTACGTGACAGTGCACATTAGCCGGAAAGGTGCCGGGCGCCGGAAGGCAATACAGACTTAATATTTCGAGGGGTTTTATATTAATTACGATCTCACCTATGACACATGCCGCGCACGTGTCAATTTACTAGCGTAAAACATACATTCACATGCATTCAAAATACGCAGTAAATAAACGTGTAATGATTGTGGCCCCTAAAAGAAAATAAAACGATAGCTCCGACTCACTTCCAGGCATTTGGACTTCGGGCTATCCCCATTCCTTTAGATTCCCATGAACGGACTTCGAATCTTTTATCTTTTAACCACCACGTGAGAAAAGAATCCTCGGTTGAGGTAAGAGAGAGAAATAGATTTACAACAAGAATTTAAGAGATAAGGCACGACACGCAGGCCGTATTATAATCAAATAAACTATAGCCACAATCATCCACCATGCATATCATACATCCACACAGGCAATAGAGATATACATACACCAGGCGAACCGCGCTCGCCCCCGACAATTCTAGAAAAATACTACGTTGGTAATATTTTCTAAAAATCATAAAAATTCATAAATTGGTCCAAAAATTATGAAATTTTACCAAGTCATCCTAAAACTATTAAGAGACTTTCGGGCATGGGAAATACTGGAAAATAAATTTCCAGGAAACACAGAATGACGAAATTGCCCCTAGTGCAAAGTTTATTCCAAAATTCATTTTAAATTTGAAATAAATTTAAAAAAATCATGAAAATTAATTTCCAACTTCCAGTAACTATTTTATACATTAATAAATTTGAAAATTAAATTTCCAGAATTTATAAATATTTATTTCCCAAATATATTAATTATATCTCAATAATTGCAAAATAAATTTTAAACCATTTTTCAAAAATCATTAAATTATAAAATTTAATATTTAGAAAAATCAACTTAATTTTTAATGAGATATAATTTTCCAAAATGATATTAGCCATTTTCAATTAATATATATATCTATATATATTACTTGGTAATATATATATACCAAAATATATATATAATTAATTACTAACTAATATTATTTTGTCCAATATATTTATCAACAACTTTATTTTAAATAGAAATAATATTTCCAAGTTTTATAAAGTTCATTTTGAGTTTCCAATATTTATATAAGATTTATTATAATTAAATCTAAACAAATACAATTAACTCAAAAATTGGAAATAAACAATTTAGAAAATTACAATATAATTTTACTAACCATAAAATAAAATTTTATGTTCAATAAAATTATATTAACAATTTCGAAATATATATATTAATATATATTCGAAATTTCCGAATATATGTATAAAATACATATTTTCGGCACAAATAAATAATGAATATTTATTCTAATGATTTATTTAAGTCTAATATTTATTCCAAGACTAAAATAAATCATTTTACTAATTTTCGAAATTAACAAATAATTACCATGTTAAAAAATAATTTTTAACCNTAATTTTACTAACCATAAAATAAAATTTTATGTTCAATAAAATTATATTAACAATTTCGAAATATATATATTAATATATATTCGAAATTTCCGAATATATGTATAAAATACATATTTTCGGCACAAATAAATAATGAATATTTATTCTAATGATTTATTTAAGTCTAATATTTATTCCAAGACTAAAATAAATCATTTTACTAATTTTCGAAATTAACAAATAATTACCATGTTAAAAAATAATTTTTAACCGAAAAAGTTCTACGAAAAACTATAGTTTTGTACGTTGGCTCTGATACCACTGAAGGGTAACCACGGTAGGGAGAGCAGCGGAAATACAAAAATTTAATCTCGAAATAGTGATTACTAGCCCAAGAACGCGTACTAAAACTATAGCTAGAGATAGAAATTTATACCTTCTCCGGTAAAGCGGTATCAACGAGAAGTCGAGCAAAAGATGTTGAAGGAGCAAACGTAGCCGTTCAAGCGTCCGGCTTCCAACTTTGACACACGAACAATCTCCGGAGTCTACTATAATCTTTATGCTAGTAAAGATTATAATAGTATATTTAATATAAAGATTATTTTAGGGATAATATAAATCTTGTATATTAAAAGTAGAAAATAAATCTATAATATTTTAAAGAAAATATTATAACAATTTTCTACACCCAAAATTATTTTGGAACCCGAAAGAATTCTCTCTCTTCTCCTTTTCTTGGCCGAACAAAATGGAGTGAGTTGTGTGTTTAAAGGGGTTCCATTTTAATCAAATGATAAAACATGACCAAGAACAAAAGGCCAAAAGGATTTGTCAAATGCTCCTCCTTCACATATTGTAAAGTGGGAGACAAAGCCCACTCACTCATGCAGGGTACGAAGTGTTGATTAGGGGAGACGAATTTAATTCTTCTCCTCTCAAATGTTCAAAGTGTATTTTATTTGACATCAATAATTTTTATGATATAAAATAAAATACCCAAAACATTTTAAAACAAGTATATAAAATATACTTTAAAATAGTTTTTTGTCAAAATAATTATTTTCATAATTAAAATGACACTCCAATTTAAAATGTACACAATATAATATATAATGTAATATATATATACATATATGTACACGTTATAAGTATATTACATATATATGTACCCACGCACATTATATATGTATATATGTGTGTGCCGTGTACAAAGTATATACACACACACACACACACATATATATATATATTAAACATTTACTTTACTATTTTACATTATACAAATTATATATTATCCCTTCTTATAATCCTACTCTTTAAATTGTCCAAAGTGTGTGACCCATATAGGCACTTATAAAACTGGCCACAGTATTGACTCTACACCAATACTATAAGTAATAAGCGGTATCTAGCAACACATTGCTACCCCCAGATTATAAGTTCAGACGTTTGCTCCGTCAAAACCTTTCTACGACTAAGACTTTGTATAACGTAGATCCTTTTGTCCCAATGTCTTAACTTAGTGCAAGGGATATAAAATATCCAACTTGTAGCCATTAAGTTATTTAGTGATTAACAAGTCTGACTGATGAGAACAGATGTCTAAACTCATCTCAGCATGGCCATGCATTTCTTCAGTCATACTTATCAGTGGGCCCCTACAAGACATTATTCTGCTTGAGTAGCAGTGACAAATTTTTTGTACGTAATCTACGTCTTCGAATACGTGCAGCGGCATGCCCAATACAAAGCCTGTGTACCATCCTTATGTCATACGGCTTAGGACAATGAATCTAAGCATGCGGGTTCACACATTCGAAGAACGTAATACTTCAAGTCTGAGGATCGTTATACCAATAGTCGCATTAAGGACACTTAGAGCATAGACTAAAAGTCTAGGCAATGCCCTTAAGGTGGGTCAGGTCTGGCATCCTATTATTAACGATAATATCTACCCGAGAGTAGATGCGAACACTCCGTCATTTGACCAAGAGACTAGGTCAAACATCTAACTCTCGCTAGTCTCACACGCATTAACGATATCCTGCTCTCGTTAATGCTTCGACTATAGACCGTTAAGAATTATACTAAGTGACAAGATGTCAGTCTCAACATCAGAAGACTCATTCTGATAAACATCTTATAATATAATTCTAGGAATGCAATTAAGAGTTTACATTAGCATGAGATGTTTGTAAACTTAATGCATCTGCCTTTACATGATAGAAAATATCTAAGATATTACAACAGCAGTTGGCCATAAGGGCACCAACTCCAACA